AAACATCAGCTTTCCATTAGGGTCTTACTGGTCCCATTAACCCTATCGGTACGCCCTGGGGTAATTTTGTACCCCCGGGGTTGTATTCTTCACGTCTTAGAATACTTCTCGTCAGAAGATCTCTTTGAAACTTTCAGTATTTCTCAAAAAATCATTTTGACAGATTGCTATGCAAAGCGTACGGATCGGATTAACGGGTGAATTTCCCCTTTGGAAAGTGGTGGCACAGAGTTGTCTACGTCGTATGGATACGATATCATAGTAAAACACAACGTACGGACTGGGTTAAGTACGTTTGTGTCACGGCGCTTTGGAATCAGGCGCTCGTCAATATTTGGGCACACGGAGTTATTGGTATCAGCTGAAAGAAAGTTGATTTATTTGCCTTGCTTCTAATGAGATAAATATTCATCTATCTTGAATAGATCTGAAAATTGAAGGAAGTGAGGGCGCCTGGTTTCAGTGGTGAAATAAGCTTGTTTGTTTTAGTAGAGGTTTTACGGCGCTCGCAACTGCATAAGGTCATGTGAGCGCCATAAATATAAGCGAGAAACTGGCTGTCAAAGTTTGGTAACTCCAATATCTCAAGAGTCCTTGAAAACAGAAAAATGACAACATTTTGTGCCTTTAATCAATGTTTTTCAATAAAATTCACTTGGAAATTTGTTTTTATATGCATATAAAAGAGGTTGAGTCAAAAAATAAAAATTCGATAAAAATTTCGAAAACTGGCGGAAAAAAATGCCTGTTTCTCCGATTTCTGAATATTGACGAGCGCCTGATTTGACCACGCTGCCTGATATTACTCAGGGTCCTCACAGTGGGATCGCACTCGGGTTGCCGAGACGTCATGCTCGGAATACCCTATTAATCTATTTTAAGAATGAGCCATATCTTATCGTTGTGTAACGAGGGATATAGTATGCGTACCTTAGTCCCCCTTTCGAGCTGGGTGCAGCAGAAAGTGCTTATTGTGCCTGTCTGTTATAAGATTTTGGTTAAAGTTCGAATCCCCCTTTTCTTCCCCCGTTCTGAAAATGCACAGAATGACAAATTTCTACTTAGAATTTTACAAAGTTCTATCTGACATTTTTGATCGTTTTGAGTTACTAAGACCATGATGTCAGAAACTAAATGGCCTACCTGATACATCAAAGTCGGAAGATTATTCAGTGTCTTAATCGAGGTATTCAGTGACCTTTGAAATATTAAGTTTTACCTGACAGTTTTGGCCGTTTTGAGATACTAAGACCAAGAGGTCAGAAACCAAACGTTCTATCTCCTCTGTCAAAATTGTAAGATTACTCGGAGTCGTTATGGTGATATTCAATAAATTGCATTCGACAAAAAGATTGAAATGTTGTGTGTGAAACTCAAAATTCTTAACGTCAAATTTCTAAAAAAAACTAGGTACTGAGCAGATAGAACTTTGTAATTCTAGGTTGGCGACTTGTGCCCTTCCTGTCTGTGGTGTCGCTGCGACTCAAAGGCGTCCGCCACAGGGAATACGGCTGGGCATTGAGTCGCTTTAGCAAAATCCGGATAATATGATAGTGCACCTCTTCGGCAAATAATAAATGTGTATGAACCACTTCGACAACCAGGTTAGGAAAGAGAGTATAAGTATAAGAGTCTGAATTTGGATAATGTTTCATTGAGAATTATCCGGTTATCTGGATAGGTTTTCAGGATTGTGCCCACCACTAACAGGGAAAGGAGACCCCGAGTGCGTATTAGGTCAATTAGGTTGTGATTAATGAAGGACTAAAGTTTACTTTTATCAGATATTTTTAGGGTGTCACGGTCACAACACAGTTTTACGTTGGTCATCCCCCCCCCCCGCCCATCCCGCAAGTTTTTAGCTGTTACTATGGTAAAGATGCTTTTGCTTGTTTCGATTCCTCAGTATAGCAGGATGTCGTTTCGTGTACTAAAAAGTCAAAATCGTGCAATACACCATGTTTCTACTTTTACTTATGCCCTAAAAGTGAATAAGATACGTTCCGTTTTTAAGTTAAAAAACCCCATACAAAACGAAACAAACGTAAACACAAAAACAAAAAACAAACAAAAAGAACCCATACCCCCCTCCCCAAAATAACCTCCCCCCCCCGGGC